TTTTAGGCTGAGTCATGTTCCATTGTCTGTATGCACCCCCTCTTTATCCATCCCTTGATGGGCATTGCTTCCCTTGTGATTACCATGAGGATTACATCTAACGTCCTGTTAATGTTGAGTGAGTTTATCAGCCTAACTTCAGTGACATACAGACACTCTGTTCCTACAGCTGCCCCCACTCCAGTCAGTGGTTGACGTCACAAAATCCCACCTTTATACATCGTGCAAAGACATCAACTAATAGTTCTTCTAACTGCACCAATCTCCTAAGTTATGTGGCTGGGCTTTGACAGGGCTGGGTCTGTGCCAAGCAACTGTGAAGGCGGGGCAGGGGCTGGGGGCGTTGGGAGGAGCCCTGGTGTCCTGGCCCAGGGATCCAGAGCTGGGAAAGAGTGTGAGCACAGGTGTGTGTGTTTTATATTTTTTTTAAAGTTATTCCCTTTTTTTTCTTTTTAGTTTTGTCAGACTGGGAGAATTCAGTGCTGTATTTATTTATATTTTTATTGATTTCAGAAAGGAAGGGAAAGGAAGAGAGAGATGGAAACATCAATGATGAGAGATTTATTTTTTTAAAGTTATTCCCTTTTTTTTCTCTTTCTGGTTTTGTCACACTGGGAGAATTCAGTGCTGTATTTATATTTTTATTGATTTCAGAGAGGAAGGGAAAGGGAGAGAGAGATGGAAACATCAATGATGAGAGAGAATCATTGATTGGCTGCCTCCTATTTGAAGCATTGCTGCCGTTCCACAGAGGAATGCACTGTAAGGACAGAGCTGGGTCAGAGGGGATCTGACCTCAGGCCCTCAGAGGCGCAGTGATTGCTGCCCTCGCCTGGGAGAGGCTCACGTGGTGCCAAGACACGGCCTCGAGCCCGGCCGGTGTGGCTCAGTGGTTGAGTGTCGACCTATGAGCCAGGAGGTCACGGTTCAAATCCCTGTCAAGGCACATGCCCGGGTTGCAGGCTCGATCCCCAGTGGGGGCGTGTAGGAGGCAGCCAATCAATGATTCTCATCATTGATGTTTCTATCTCTCTCTCCCTCTCCCTTCCTCTTTGGAATCAATAAAAATATATTTAAAAGGCACCTAAAGGTACTATATTAAAAAACAAAGTAACAGCCTCGGAGAGGGGGGCTCAGAGAAGTGAGACCAGCGGGAGGAGGCCAGTGAGTGGGGTGCCGACCCTGGAGGAGAGGGGTGTCCATCCTCAGGCTGCAGGGTGCTGACCTTGGGAAGAGGGGTGCCGACCCTCGTGAGTGCGGAGAAGCAGCTCACGGGGCCGTAGGAGTAGAGGTGTTACCAGCACGTGGTATGAGCTTCAAAGGAATTGATGTTTCTAAGGAGGCAGCGTGGTTTAAAATAGGGAAACGGAGAGTTAGGACGTGGATTACGGAGGAAAATCAGACAGCCTGTACCTGGGAGAGCTCGGGAGCAGGTCCCCGGAGGGGAGATAGCTGTGCAGGAGCCGAGGCTCCGTGAGGAGAGCTGAGGGGGAGGGAGGAGGCGGGAGGGGGAGACGGACAGACTAGGATGTGGCCCAGTCGGCTGGGGGCCTCCGGCAGCGCGTGTCGGTGCTTGGTTCCCTGGTCTGCTCAAGTGCAGAGCAAGGGCCTGCTTCTCTGTGGTGGCCTGGGGTCAGGTCAACTGGAGGCTGGCCACATGCAGGCCCCTAAACGCCGTTTGTCCTGTCTCAGGCTGGGCTGGGGCCTGTGCTGAGGGACACCCTCCGTGGGGCCCTGGCCAGAAGCCGCCCGGGGTTCAGTGGAGTTAGCCTACCTCACGCCTGTGCTCTCATCTGAGAATCTGTTTCTCTTCCTCAGTTGCCATAATTAGGTTAAGAAGATAAAGTCTCTTGCTGTTTGGTGAGCATTTTTAAGCCAAGGTCATTTTGGGGTGGGGTTGGGAGGAGGGTGTAGCATTTCTTTCTTGCTCTGCAGGTCACAGCTTAACTGTCAGTCACTTCTGCCAACGGGTCGTCACTGGGGACCTCATGGGGGAACCTGTGGCCTCTCTGGAGACATTTCTGGCTTCATCTAGAGCAGCGGTTCTCAACCTGTGGGTCGCGACCCCTTTGGCGGTCAAACGACCCTTTCACAGGGGTCGCCTAAGACCATCCTGCATATCAGGTATTTACATTACGATTCATAACAGTAGCAACATTACAGTTATGAAGTAGCAACAAAAATAATTTTATGGTTGGGTCACAACATGAGGAACTGTATTTAAAGGGCCAGAAGGTTGAGAACCACTGATCTAGTGGGAGGCGGCCAGGGATGCTGTGAACCCCCTCAGTGCACAGGACAGGCGGCAGGTACCCCGCCCACACGTCCGCAGTGCTGAGGGTGAGACCGCCGGGGCCCCATCTTCCTCCCGTCCCACTTGCTCACGGGAGCCCTTCCTGGCTCTGCCTGCAGTCTGTGATCTGGATGGCTGACATTCTGGGGGAAATCCTCTCATTGTCCTGGGCGAGTCCACGGACGGCAGGCGTCTTTTCTGTCTTGGTCTCTGCCGCATGCCCAGTGCTAGCACGATGCCTGGTATACAGTCGGTGCCCAATGACTACCCGTTTTTGAGTGAATGAAAAGGAACCTGTAATGAGGGCTTTTCTCTATGGATTTATTTCTCTCTGTCCAGCTTGTAGAGCTCTGCCTAATACATCAGGTGAAACTTTGCTTCACTTCAAATTAAACTGATGTTAGTCCCGTCAAATCCTCTCCCGGGCATCATGTCAAATGGTGAGTGGCTTTCAGAGATGTTTATAACACGCCGAAAACCCCCTCCCCCGCTGCGGACAGGAACGGAGGCGAAGAGCAGAGGCCATGAACTGAGTGCTTCATGTATAAAATGTCACCGTTTTTATTTATCATTGTAAAGAGGTGTATCTCCACCAGATTGTAACAAAATTACCACAGCTTGTTCCAAAAGAAAATTTTAATACAAGAGATTTTAGAAAATTAAACACATTTGTTTAAAAATTCTATCATGTAAACCTTAACATAACAGGGTAGTTACGATAATACTACACGTTTCAGAGCGAACCCGCCCACATCCAGGCCTGGGCACCGACAGTAGCCCGGACTCCACATCGTTGCCGTATTACCCCCGACGGCGTCCCGGGGACCCAGGCTGAGGCCTCCCACAGTGGCCCCTGCACCCACAGCCCCTCCTCCCCGAAGTCAGTATCTAATGAGTCAAGCCGTGCTTACTGAGCAGCTGTGCAGGGGGTGGAGCTAAGGCTGCAGAGGTGAAGACGGTCAGGATGAATCCAGATAATAGTCAGCCCCACCCCTCACCCCTAGAAACCGCCCCCAGGCTGGGTCAGAGTGGTCAGCACTCTGCTCTCCTCCTGAGTCCCCGGCCCCGGACTTCGCAAGGGCAGCTCCTGTCTGGTCTCTGGGTGGAAAGTCGTGAGGGTGAGCGAGTGGCCTCTCCCTCCACAGCTCACGTGGCCAGAGGTGACCTGAGCGGGCTCATGGGCAGGTGGCAGCCTGGACAGGTCAGCTAGTGGTTTCCCAGTTTTGACGGGAAGATGTTCACGGGCCGGTAAGAACTGACCCCTGGACATTGAAATGCTAATGACTCCAGCATTCTCTACCGTGGACGGTCGTCCAGGCGCCATCGTATATAGAAATCAGATTTTTTCCTAAAGAAGCTGACTGGGTCGGTCGGAAAGCGACTCAACATGGCCTTAGGGCTCTGTGACTGAAGTCAGGAGTATCCACTGGCAGTGTCCTGGCGGAAACGGTGAGAAGTCAGGAGACGGACCACGGAGGCCGCTCTAGGGCCTGTGGGCTGAGCAGGGGGTTCGCTCAGAGCTCGGGCTCGTCGGCCTCCACCCTCATGCCTGTCGATCCCAGAGCTGATGTTTTAGCTTAGAAACATAATTAAGACCGCGTGCTACAGAAACATGAAAACGAACTTTTGGCACGGAAATCTGAGATAAAATATACAGTGCTACAATTGTGCAAAAATAGCACAGAAGCTAATCTGAACAGCAAATATTTAAGGTTAGCTTTAATGAGACAATGCACAATATTTGAAACATGATCGCTGCAAACCCCTTGCTCAGAGGCAGACGCTGCCCAGGGAAGGGCCCTCTGCCAGGCCCGGCCTGCAGGCTGGGGCACCACGTCCCGAGGGAACCGCCAGAGAGGTCCAGACAGGCGGTGTGCCCGTCTAAGAGGTACCTTAGCCAGACTGATGTCCTGGCAGGTGTGGCCGCTGGCAGGGCCCTTCTCAGGCAGGTGGGCACACCCATCCTCAGGGCGAGGCTGAAAGCCAGCCTGTTCTTTACAGTCAGTTACACGCCTGCCAAGGTGTAAGTGCCTCCCGGTGGACGGACGCTGGGCTGGTGCAGAGGAACCAAGAGGAAGGAAGGACTCTGGAGGGACTGGTTAGAAGGCCCTGCTGGGACCCAGAGAACAGGCCTGGCCCCAGGTGAGGGGCGGCCGGCACCTCTGGGCTGCCACCACGAGCAGGTGGGGTGGGCTGAGACCTGGGACCTGGGACCCCGGTGCTCAGGTGGGCAACCTGTCCCATGTGATACCCAGAGAAAAAGGAGGCCACCAGCTTGAGGCCACACCGGTGCTGGAAGCCGGCAGTGCTGCGTCTCGTCACCTGGCTGGCGGGCGGTGTGCTGGCTCCAAACCTGGGGACTCACTACTGGGCCTCCAGGGCCTGCTGCCTCGTGCACTGGTAACAATGGTGTTATCGATCCTACGATGTGATCAGCTTTGATTGCCTCTGTTTTGTTATAGGCACAACACACAACCTGCCACCCTGGTAAATTCCAGTGGTTATCAAAGGACTCATCTTAATAAGCTCCCAGCCGGGACAGAGCCGAGCTCTATGATTAGG